GTAACACCTGCAAGTTGCTCCCAGGTCCTCTTGGTTTTTCGGCGGTTTCTTCCAGTGCCAGATCTGCCTGGAGCATGGTGGCACACACCCAGGAAAGAAAGAAAAATAATGCCCCCTCCCTGTCTTTCCCAACTTGACCCCCTCGCTCCTCCCAGCAGAAGCTGCTCTTCCTTCCCTGGCCTGCATCTCCGCAAACCCTTCCGTGGGCCTCCCGCTCTTGACACAGCCCAAGGTTTCAGCTTTGGCAGTGGGTGGTGAACTGGCGTTGGGGGGGAACGGGGGTGCCAAAAGCAGAACAATAAATGGCATTGGGCAAACGGCAGCCAGATTCGGTTGGGAGGGCTGCCAAAAATCCCCAACTCCTTTTGCAGGGAGGGAGGGAGGGAGGAAAGGCCCTCCCTTAGGAAAACCTGCCAGCCGCCCTTTGATCCACAGGCTGCTGGCAGAAAGGAATCCAGATCGGATTCCCATTCCCCTTGCGGCCACGCACAAGAGGCCGGGTGAGCCACTGGATCACACACCCACACCCAAGGTGCATTCAGCCCTCTGGGCATGGAGTGACCCACTCTCTCCCCATGCCGTAAAAGCAGTTCCTTCTTCTGCCAGGGGTGAACGGAGTCACGTCTGTGCCGGATTTCCCCAATAGAGCACTTCAGGGATGTCTTTAACCACCATGGCTGAGGATGCTGGGAACTGGAGTCCCAACCCATCAGGAAAGAACCAGCAGGCACTGGAGAACGGTGATCCTAAAAAGGATCTGGAGAGAACCCGGCAGAACCTAACTTTTACTCACCATTTCTTTCCCTTCCCCTGATGGAGGCTTAAACGGTTTGTCCAGACAAGCCTAATATGGGAAGCCTTATGGATTCGCAAAACCAGTTCTGCCTCTCTCTCAGCCGTGCTGTCCTCTCTCCTTCCTGTGTTTTAAAGACCTTGCAGGAGGACAAAAGGTGACTAGGCTGTCAGGTAAAATAATGGCAGCCTGGCAAAGGAAAGTTGACGGGGTTTGCCCATCGGAAACAGCTCAAGAGTAGAGATATGTCCTTTTTTTTTTCTTTCATTTCTGCATCGCATGCCATATGTATGGTATTTATTTTATTTTTTACGTTTTTCAACATTTTTTATTGAATATTTTTCATGATTTTTATATATTTGCTTTTTTACTGCAGTGTTGTATGCCACTCAGTCGTTTTTTGTGAGATAGACGGCCATATAAATTTAACAGCTATAATAGGCTGAAAGAGAACAAGTTGGGAGATTCGATTAGTTTTTCTGGATTCCAGAGACGGATTCAGAGATTCAACTAAATCAGTTTCAAATGCTGCCTTTAAAGCCAACCCTCACACATCCCTAACTCATAGAGACACAATACACAGACAGACAACCTAATTCTTTGTTTACCAAGCTCGATAAAGCCTCAAAACAATGCCTGCTTTTGATAGATGATCACAATTATGCTAATAAGCTGGGTCCAGAACATGACAAAAAAAAAAACCTATTAGATGTAGTTTGCAATTACATCCACAGCTATTAAGCATTTTCTCACTTTTTTCTTGCCAATGTGAAAAGTGTGTTGAATGTTTTGCTCATAATATACACAGCCAACGGTGCACATACTTCACACCTAAATGGGGAAAGCAGAACTTCTTCTAACAGGTAACAATTTTACAAACTCTACCCTCAGCCTTACAGAGTCACACACCACCTGGATGTCACTTTGGGGAGAAACTCACACACTATGCGAGAGTTCACCATGGAGGCTAAGGAACTTAAAATGCATTACTATTATCAGCGGAACTTGAATATTTTGGATGCCAAAGCTGTTTTTTAATTGTGGCTTTTGCTTCTCAACTTTACTTTACATATCCTGGCAGAAGACTATTTGAATACTGGTTATTTATGTGACTGTCTGGATTTAAAGATGCAGCTCACCATATTTTCTTTTCCCAATAGGGATAGAAACGCCTCTTAATGTGACGCATCTTCTGGCATAAAGGCAGATTGTTTCTCACTCAGAAAGACAGCTTGCGTCCGCTTTGAAATTTAATAAAACAATATTCATGCCCCTGAAAGCCAGTGGCAGGCCTTAGATATGGGCCTGACTTGTAAGCATGTCAGAAGAATGGTGCTTAGATCCTAGACACCAGACTAGGCGTGGTCTCGTCCAAAAGTGTTCAGATCGAAAGGCTCTTTTTCTGAGCAATTCTGGGTCCTCTCTCCACCTGAAGCTTCTGGGTTTAGGAGCCATGTGCCATGATAATCCCCATGCAACTTCCTCTGGATTCTGCATCAAGTGACAATCTCCCCAGATGTAATGCAGCAGCTATGGCCATTGGCTGTGTCCAAACTGAAAGCTAAGGACGAAGGAGCCTAAGGAGAAATCTGCCTGCCCCAGCCTTCATTAGCAACTGACTGCCGCAATCTCTGGTGCTTGAGAGCTCTTCCACCCAGGGGAAATAAAACCTGGCCCAGATCAATCAGAATGTGACTTCCTCATCAGGCCTCGTAAGTTAAGTCAATAGCAGCCTAACTTGTTTCTAACTTCCCAAAGTTTCCTGGAAATATTCTACAACCAATCACCTATGACTTATGTGGCACTGCACAAAGTCAGAGGGAAGGTTAAGCTTCCCACCCTGGCTGCCAAGTAATATTTTCAGCAGTTTCACAGTCGCCCAAGCCTCATGTTAACGTCCATGTGGCCACCTGAAAATCTGCTGATCTGCCCTCTGCTTTTTTTGTCGAGGCAAACCCAATGGCACACTTCCCAAAAATTTATGTCTGATACTGAGCGTATGGAAAATTAGCCCACTCACCTCTAATGACTTCCTTCAAGATTAACCTTAATTTTACATCCAACTGGAACTGCCCTTTTCCCAAATTCCTCCTACAGTTTATTAAAGCAATCCGTAAGAAGACCAAACTATTTATCTATTTGTTCCAGAGATGTTCAACCTGAAATGCTAGGATTGTGTCTGGCCAAAAGCTTATTCTGCAACTCCCAAGGATCTTCAAATATTGCTTTTTTTTTTTTTAAAGCGGGGGACACAAAGGAAACTTGACTGCAGAATAATTCCTACCAACAACATCAATTTTCAATCAAGACTGAATGACAAGTAATTGAAAGAAAAATTCTGCATTTGTCTTGGCAGTGCCTAGGAAAGTCTGAAATGCAGGCACCCCCAATCCAAGGGTGCTGATCTTCTAGCCTTCTACATATGGAAGGCTAGAAGATCAGATGACTTCCAGATGTGGCTGACTACAATTCCCACAATTCCAGGGGGCCTTCTATTGGGTCATACTGGATGGGGGGAAAAATCTGTAGTCTAATGATGGCAAGGGATGCTCTCCAGAAACCTCAAAATGGCCCTGGACTGTGTGCAGAAGCTGGTTTACAGATGGCTAAAGCTGAGTTATGGCAACAACCAGCTGTAAACTTTCCCCTTATCAGCGAAGAGAGCCACCTCCCCTTTGGGACACCGAAACGCTATGAGAAAAAGCTTCAGGAAAGCTCTACCTTAACAGATAGATGGAGGCTCAACTGGAAAGTTTGTCTGCTTAAATCCTTGCGCCACAACAACTTTTTACATTTAAAAAACCTCGCAAAATTAGTTTTTCTCACCATGCACATGTATACATCCGGACTAGACTGTGTTATTTCTCTGTGTCATAGAATATATGTGGGTATAGGCATAATTTTGTATTTATTTTGTCATGTTTATGTAGTGTCTATGGTGGTGACCTTCCGAGAGCTGTATGCAACGAAATTTCAGTATGCCGATTAGCGTAGGTTCAAAGCAACAATAAAGTTATTCTAAGTGTGCTCACCAAACTGTAACGGGGGGGGGGGGACCGGCTTTCACCCTGGGGCTCCCCAGCTCTTCCCTAGCCACAGCCACCCTGGAGGGCATCCCATCCTCGGATCCATCACCGCACTGCTGAGAAAGCACTTCTTGCCGATGCAGAGGGCGGGCAATTCAACCGGGGCCGCCTCCTCCACAAAACCCTCCCCAGGAGCCCATTTTAAAGCTTTGGGAAGGGGCAGGGTGGAGATGGGCCTTTTGGAGAGCTTGACTTCGCTCTACCCCTACCCAGGGGGATTTACTAATCGACCCCACTAGACACCCCTCTGGCTCCCACCAAAAGCATTTTTCATTGTTGTTCTTCTGCACTTTGCTTTTTTCTCCCCCACCCCTTCTAGTGTTTTATTTACCTTGGGAGCAAACCACCTGGCCGAAAGCGAACAGGGAGCTCCTGCAGGCCCAGGGAAAGAAGACTCCCCCCTTCTTCTTCTTCCTCCCTTGACCGACACCCCCTTCCCCAAGGAAGCCCAAGAAACCCGGGATCGAACCAGGAGAGGCAGAAGCTCCTGCTCCCTTCTGGGGGGAAGGAAGGAGAGAGAGCACAACCGTGGCCGAAGCAGCCGCATCTTTCGGGCCACCTGGCTCTCTCCGTCTCTCCCCCAAACACCTTCCCCCCCCCCCCACAGGCACCTCTTTGAGCCCCTCTAGCTGGAGGAAAGGAGCGCGTTTGTCCCCGTTTGCCAACCCGGGTCTCTTTAGGGAGGAGGGGGCTTCTCCTCCCAAGCGAGCCGGGGGGGATCCTGGGAGTTGAAGTCCTCCCCCCTTCCCCCCCTCCCCTCGCGTCATCGGGGCCTCTGAGCAGGTGCAGAGCGCGCGGCCTGGCAGGAAGGCCCCGCCTGCCAGGCCTCCCTCCGTCCCGCCGTGAGTCAGCACCCCGCCCGGCCTCGCACGTGGGCCGGACTGTCTTCCTTACTTCTCCCCCGCCCCCACACACACACACACACGCGCACTCCGGACCCCCCTTTGTCTCCAGGCAGACCGGCGGCGGAGGCCTCCAGTGCGCATGTCTCGGGGGCGCCGCGGTTGGGCCTCGCCGCCTGCCCGCCAGGCCTCGAGTGAGCCCGGCTGAGGGGAAAAGGCGGCCCGCCCGATGCGTGTCAGCGGCCAAGCCAGGCCCGGCCAGCGCCCTTGCTTGCCTACCTTGCGCGGCGCTCCGCTGCGGCTGCGGCTGCTGAGGCGGCTGAGGGGAGCGAGGCGGCGGCGGCTGAGGCGGCGGGGGAAGCAGCTCTCCGCGGGCCCTGGAGGCGGGCTGGGGCTGCGGCGCGCGCCTAGCATGAGGGGCTCGTGCGGGCCGCCATCTTCGGAGGAGGCGCGGCGCAGCGAGGCGAGGCAGGCCGGGCCGGGCGAGGCGAGGCGGACGGGGCGGGGGGGGGAGGGGGGAAGCCGCAGAGCCGCCCCCTCCCTCCCTCCCTCTTTTCCTCCCGCCCTCCTCCCGACGCGGCGGCGCCGCAGCAGCAGCAGCCAATCAGAGCGCGCCCCGCGGCCGGGCGGGGAACTCCCAACGCCGGGAGGGGGGAGGAGGAAGGGGCGGGGCGGGCGCGCGAGAGGGGGCGGGCAAGCGCGTCTGATTTTTTTTCCCACCCCTCGCCCCGCCCACTCCTCCTTTCACCGCCCCCCCCCGCTCCCTTCGTTCTCCCTTCTCCCTTCCCGGCAGGCCCTGTCGGAGAGGCTGCCATAGCAACGCCCGCCTCACCCCCCCCACCCTCCACTGCAGGCCTTGCTTGGCGTTCCCTCGCGAACGAGGGAGGATGGGGGGGGCGTGAGGGGATGGTTTTGACGGAGTGGATTGGCCTGCCTCCCCCCCCCCTACCCGGATTTCGTGAGGGGTTTTGGGAAATTAAGAGCGTGAAAGCCCCGCCACCCAACTTCCCCCCCCCCGCCGCCGCCGCCGCCACACGCCAGCCACAGGCCGAGGCGCGCCGAGAACGGCGTTGCTAAGCAACGTCGCTTGGAGACGTGCCTGCGCCCGCCCTCCGGCGCGCGCGAGCTGGGATGGGGCGTTGCGTCATTCTGACGTCATCGCGGGTAGGGAACGGACGCCCCGCCCCGACTTCGGGATTTAGCGGACTCTTTTTTTCGGCTGGGGCGAAGTTGATGGCCGAAACCCGGACCTTTCTTGGGCTCCCACCGTTTCCCACCTGCCACCTCCGAAGAAAAGCCCGAGGCCCGGCCCTTCCCTGCCCCTTAAGAAGGGAAAAGGGGAGGGCAGCCTGCCTCCTCCCTCCAGTGTCCCTTCAGACGTTTCTGAGGTTCAGTCACGTGTATAGTGCAAGCCAGGTTTCTGTCTGAGCTTTTATAGGGCAGGAATAGTAATAATTCCACCTGCTCCCCCGAAACATCTGGAAGTAGCCTGTGTGGAACACATCCAGATGTTTATGTGAAGCCCTCCCTCTTCTCCCTTCCCACTGATAAAAAAAATGCTTTTTTCCAAGTAACTGCTTAGGCCTGAAATGGGAGCTGGGGGTGCTTCCTCCTGCTTGGGGGGTGGGGATGGGGTTAAGTTGGACTAGATGATTGACAAGCTCCTTTCCAACTCTTGTTAATTCTGTATCATCTGAGCAATGCTTTAAAAGTGTCCTCTTTTAACAGAAATGGTGGTGGCTTGTGGCTAGTTAGCAGATCCAATTTTTCTGTGTGTTGGTGCAAGAGAGGGGAAGCGGCAGCTTCGTTGCCTGGAGTTCCCGGGGAGTTCCCAGAAAGTTAAGATAGCGGCCACAACTGTGCAACTGAAGGGCCCCTATTTTGAGATGCCTTTGCAGGTAGACCTTCAATTGCACCATCCTGGCTTTGGGGACCACGCCTCAACTGGCTCCCTTGGCAACCTCCCAAACTGACTGACTGAAAAACTTTGTATGATGCCTTCATCCAGCTTCAGCGGCTCCTGCTTGGTTTTTCCCCCCAGGGTGGGGGTGTTATTCCCGAGAAGATGGATTGATCCCTTTCAAAGCACTTTGTTTGTTTGTTTGTTTGAAAAGAAGTGAGGCTGGGCTTAAATATAGCAGCGCTGCAGCACAAAGGTCTGAACAAAACCAGTGTGTCAGCCAGTCCTTTGTAGAGCAGGACGATGGTCTTCAGTGCCCTCCAACCCGGCCCCTACTTAGTTCTCCCGTTCTGCAGAAGCAGAGGTCATCCCAGGACAGAACGCTTCGGAGCCAGCTGTTCCCTCTTCGGGCCGAGAAATGAAGAGCATTCCTGGCCTCTCCCCTTGCAGCTGTTCCTGCTTGTCCAGCAAGGAGAGATTTATTTGGCCTCTTCATCAAATTCCAGGAGTTCAGGTAAATCAGCGTCACATTATAGCGGGGCTGTTTACTTTCCAGATTGAGTTGATTGAGGACAAAAAATGAATCCAGCATCAGTTGGAACCATTTTTTACAATAGTTCAAGGAGTTTGAACGTCAGTGGTAACTACAAGAGACACTGCTGGGAATTCCTCCCATAGACTACTTGAGAGAGAAAGAGGGAGGGAGGGGGAGAGAGAGATGATAGACAAATAGATAGAGAGATAATAGACAGGATATATTGATGGATGATAGATATAGATAGATAATAAGTTAGATAATACAGATGATATATTGAAAGATAGATGAATGATAGCGATAGATAGATAGATAGATAGATAGATAGATAGATAGATAGATGAGAGATAGATAGAAGATGGATGGATAGATAAGTTAGATAATACAGATGATATATTGATAGATGATATAGATAATAGACAATAATTTAGTAGACAGATATATTGATAGACAGATATAGATAGATAATAGATGATAGAAGATAGATAGATAGATATAGATGGGTGGGTAGATAGATAAAAGATAGATAGAAGATAGATAGATAGATAGAGATGATAGAAGATAGATAGATAGAAGATAGATAGAAAGATAGAAGATATAGAAAGATAGATAGATAGTAGATAGTAGATAGATAGATGATAGATAGATAGATAGATAGATAGATAGATAGATAGATAGATAGATATGGATGGATACCCGTTTAGTTTCATAATGGATTCTATTGTGAAAAAGGAGGGGGGGTCTATTTCCTTTTCCCTGCATGAGGCGTTTTTCTCTTTTCTCATAATCTATCAGAGAATCTCCTCCACGGCATAAAAGACGGTGGCACTGAATAAAAATCCCAAAGGTGCTTTTTCGAGAGGCAACTGGACTTTCTGGTAACCAGTTTCCAGAAAGTCCAGTTGCCTCTCGAAAAAGCACCTTTGGGACAACCAGACCTGGATGGCTGAGAATCTCCACAGACGGTATGAATAAAAGGTGCGCAAACAAAGCAACTTCCCAAGATGCCACCGAGGCCTTGGGAAACTTGTCATGGTGGCAACCTGGCACCCGACTGTTATTTGGGCCCTGAGTTGGTAGCAACGCGATCCAGGGCTCCAGAGAATATTTTGTTTACCTGCAAATCAAAGGGCTGTGGCATACAATTGAACAAGCTTAATCCAACTCTGGGGAAGTCAGGGTGGTGCGTAAACTCAGCCGCCAGGACAGAAGGCTTGAGGGGGGGCTTGCCCTGTCCTTGCACCCCCCTCCCCGTTCTAGGCATCCCTTAGCCTAAACAGAAGCTGTTTTGAAAACTGTAACGTACGTCCAAGAAATATTGACTACACAAACACCAGTGCAGGGAGAAGAAAAAAAGCTTTCCAAATCCGTAGAAAGAGCAGTTGGATTCCAAGCCCATCAGAGAGACAAAATGGGTCACGCTAGGAGAACAGAAAGAAAAAGAAAATCAATTCTGCCAGATGCTGATGAAACCCAGGATGGAAAAGGCTCTTTAAATGGTCAAATGCCAGATCATTTCGGGCCAGCTGGAAAGCGCCAAAGGAAGAGATTTAATTTCCCACTTCTAGAATTGGGGACGTGAGGGAGGAAGGGAGGCACTGAGGGGGGCTGGCAGCAGTGACTCGGGCAGGCAAAAATTACTTTTTTTTTTTTTTTGGCAAAACCTAGACTGTTCCAAAGGAATTCACTGCCACATGACAAAGTAGCCAAAGCTTTGCCCAAAGGAGGAACAGCTGGCTGGCATCTGCCCGACAACGGAGAAAGGAGGCAGAACCCAGAGGAGGAGGAGGAGAAGCAATGGAGTATGCGAGACGAGGGCTTGCAGGGTGGCCTGGAAGAGCCGAATTAAGATTGGTGCCACCACCTCTTCTGACAAAGCCTGTTCCCCAGCAGCTGTCAGTCATGGAAAAATCCAGTCAGTCAGGTGCTGGGGCGGGGTGGGGGGCGGCTAGAGCTTCTCTCCTTTATCAGCAGCTTCAGCTAATGAACTTCCGGTAGTCCCGATCCTAACTAGGCCGTAGATACTCTCAAAGGTATCAAAGATACTTTCCTAGAAAGCCTCTCTGATGCTCTTTGGCTACTGATCCTGAGTTTAACAGCAAAGCAGGCATTCAACTTGGCCTCTCTTGCGTATCGTGCACCCCACGTCTCTCTTCCAAACAGGAAGTCACTGCAGAAATTCCTTTGAGACGTGTGCCAGCTAAGGAAAGCATGAAAACACTATGCATTTAAATCCAGGTAGCATTCGGACTTTAATAACTATGTGGATCTATAAATAAAAAGGTCTTCCCCCCCCCCCTCTTCTTCCCCTAACACATGTCCTCCGGGGTCAATGCTGTCCATCTGCTTTCTCAGCCTGAATTTCGTGGCAATAACCCCCTTCCTTCGCCTGCCCAAAACGGATTCCCAAAACTGCCAGGTTTAGCAGCACAAGCAAAACGCGGCGACCGAGAACATCCGAGCATCGGTGGCCTTAGCTCCGCAGGGATCGCGCCGACTATTAGAATAATTCAGGCTATTTTGCAAATCCAATCTGGGAAAACAAATTAAAACTTCCAAACCCCTTCATTAGATCGCAGGGGACGGATTTTTCGAGAGGAGCTGAGACCTGGCACTATCCGGGCATCGACAAGCCCAGCATTTAACCAATTAGCTGCTTTTTCAGCAGAGAAACGAGGCGACGAAGCGAAGCACCAGAGGCAGGCCAGAGAAGCCTAGGAGCGGCCAACATAGCAGCTTGAATCCCAGCTCATGGAGCTGAGCTGACGGTGCAGGATTTGCCCTTAGAAGGGAAGCTTAAGCCTGGGCCTGGCACGTGCACATTCGCCCGGCTAAATCTCCAAGCCTTAGAAAAAAAAGGATGGAAGGGCTCTTGGCAAGCCGACTCTGCCCAACTGGTTCTGCTGCTGCTGCTCTGCTCACCAGGGGAGGGAGGGGAGGGCAAGGCGTGGCACCCTCCCTCCCTCCCTCCCTCCACGCCACTTTCTGCACAGACTCAGCAAGCCCTGCGAAA